CAGGGCTTACACAGACCTCCTATATCATAAACTCTGAGGTTAGGGCCCAGCAATCTGTATTTTTTTTTTAATATTTTTATTTTTGTTTATTTATTTTTTCCCCTAAAGCCCCAGGAGATAGTTGTATGTCATAGGTGCACATTCTTCTAGTTGCTGTATGTGGGACGTGGCCTCAGCATGGCCGGAGAAGTGGTGCGTCGGTGTGCGCCCGGGATCTGAACCTGGGCCGCCAGCAGCGGAGCGCACGCACTTAACCGCTAAGCCACCGGGCCGGCCCAGCAATCTGTATTTTAACAAGCCCTCCAGATAATTCTCAGGCATGCCAAAGTTGGAGAATCACTGTCCTAGACTATCAATGCTTTGAAACATTTACATCTCTGTTTCTCTGCTATGTACACAAGCTCTTTACAACGTCATTTTAAGAACGTCTTCTCTATACTGTATTAATTTGATCATCTGAATGTACTTTTAGGGGCCGGCCCCGTGGCTTAGCAGTTAAGTGCACACGCTCCGCTACTGGCCGCCCAGGTTCGGATCCCAGGTGCGCACCAACGCACTGCTTCTCCGGCCATGCTGAGGCCGTGTCCCACATACAGCAACTAGAAGGATGTGCAACTATGACATACAACTATCTACTGGGGCTTTGGGGAAAAAAAAAGGAGGAGGATTGGCAACAGATGTTAGCTCAGAGCCGGTCCTCCTCAGAAAAAAAAAAAGAGGAGGATTAGCATGGATGTGAGCTCAGGGCTGATCTTCCTCACAAAATAAATAAATAAATAAATAAATAAATGTACTTTTAATGACAGATTTCATTTTGCCCTGTTCAGTGTTCCATGAGTTTTGGCTCATACAAAACTAGCATAAAGTTTAAATACAAATTGCTATAATTTAATAGTTAACCTTAACTACCACATTTCACTTACTCTGTATCTTTTAAAATTTCATTTAAAAAACACCCCTTGCCTTTCTCGTACCTAAATAATATATCTTCTAATCAGTAATGAGACTTATGATTCTGCATTTTATTTCTTATACAACAATGCTTTATGGAGAATTGTACTATTTATAGTTTTTATATCCTATGTTTTCTATAAACAAAAATCCTAAATACTTACAGGGTACAAGTTTTCTAATCTTTTATGCATTTTAATCATTTAATACTTATTCTTTTACTCAATTTCTACAGGTTGCTCCGTGAAGTTAATGTGCCAGCAGGTACGTCTTGCATTCCTTTTTCTTTCTTCTATTGTCTGATAACAAATGAAAGTGGGAATGCTAGGAATTGTTAAAAAGAAAGTAAATGAATTCTTTGTCTCACTCTGCACAGATGCACTGAACTCACATCTCCCAAAGGAGAAAGAAGATATTCAAAAGGAAATAAGGGTCACAATATATATAACAAACGTTTAAGGAATCAGAATGTTTGAACTCCAAGGTCAGATGGCTTGCTCTGCAGAATTCTGGATGACATGGTAAGAAAGGAAAACACTTAAGTCTAGATGGTAATCTAGGGCACACAGCACACATTTCAGACAAGTCTGCAGCTGCATTAAACAAAGACGCGGCCACTTGTCTGAAGTTAGAATTTGGCAATCAGTAATCTATTTAAAACCCTTCACAAATAGATGGTGAAATGGAAGAATGTCAGTACTTACATTTTAGGAAAAGTATCTAGGAAAATCCAAACAAATATCAGAATTTAAGTGTTAATATTTAAAATATAAAGTTACAATAGAGAGAGAAAACACTTATTAAATGTTTTTTTTTTCCAGGCAAAAAGGGATAAAGACAACCTCAAAGTTGAAACTAAAATGTCTGAATTACAGAAATATCCACAGACATTTTAGTCAGACAACAATAAGGTTTTTCAAATAGATAGATAACCTGTCAGGTCAATAAGAACAGTATGCAGCAGGAGCTAGTTCAATGGACTGAGACTAGGCTGGAGGCAAACCCAAAGGCAGCCTATTTTTTTTTGTAAGTGCCAAATGAGAATGACAAAATTGGAAGAAGTCAACAAGAAGGATGAAAAGAAATTAGACATCTTTATAAAAAACCTGCCCAATTTAACACAGTTTGTCTTTACATCCAGAATGCAAAGAAGTAATGATTCTGGGGCCAGCCTGGTGGTGTAGTGGTTAAGTTCGTGTGCTCTGCTTCAGCAGCCCACGTTCGTGGGTTCAGATGCTGGGCACAGATCTACACACCACTCATCAAGCCATGCTATAGCAGCGTCCCATATACAAAATAGAGGAAGATTGGCACAGATGTTAACTCAGGGCCAATCTTCCTCACACACACAAAAAAAGACTCTAAAACTGTTAAAGAGAAGAAAACCCACTGGAGAAATGATCAAGATCAAAACTCTAGTCCTTAACAGCTGAAAGCAACCATGGGTTAAAAGATCATGTATGGAGGGGATCCAAGTTGTGACTTAATATTTATATGACAAACATCATTGCTGAAACATTTCCTAGGATCAATAAAGCCTACAACTTCTCTCAACAGTTCTTCAGAGTTCCGCATTCATAAGATATTGTCATTTATCTACTTCCTAGGACCAGCTTGGTAGGTAGGTAGTTACCCGGAAAATGAAAGCAAAGCAGTTCTAAACTGAGGAACTGTAAGGAATCTGTGCTAATTTTCACAACTGAACAAAGAAAACTTCCCAAACAGCCAAATACCAAACAAAATCACAAACCAGAGCTTTATAGGTTACACCGGTGTGACAACAATTAGCATATCCCAACTGATAACCTTACAATTTACTATACAAGAGAACAATTCAACTCTATATTAAGATAGGGTCAATGATATTTGCAACCAAACAAAATATGGTATCCCTGTGTGTCTGACTGTAAATCAGAGACCCTTAGAATATTAAAGTTATTAAGAGCTCTAGGGGGCAAGGGGATGACAATAACAACAATATTTTATTTTCATCAAACATTTGCAACTAATACAGAGTGGCTCTGTTCTTGGAACGAGGCCAATGTATTTGATTTTTTTTTTTTTTTAATCAAAGAGGATTTAGGATAGGAAGCAACCAGAAAACCTTCAAAGTATTTTGGAAAGAAATTATATAGTCCCTTTAATCTCGCTAGGAAAAAGAAATAAATGGAGGTGCAGAAAGAGTGGAAAAAACCCAAACAGGTTTGCTACCACCTGCTCTGATTAAAAGAGGGTATTTTTTTGCACACTTACAATTTTCTTTGAAAAACCCTGTCCACCTATTCATCCCTCAGAGAATACTTAACACAATATTAAAAGAAAAACCAACCAAATAAGCAAAACCATCCCATACAAACCTGAAGGAAAAATTAATCTACAATCCAGATGAATATGAAGGTTTATGAAGGAGGAATAGACAGGATAAGACCTTTAAGGATAAAAGGGTAAGCTTCCTGATATATATTTTCCAAAAAGTGGGGAGAATTAGAAGTAAGATAAGCATCTAATTAGTCCTTAATTAAAACAACGAGGGATAACCATGACTCACAACAACAATAGCCTGCCCATCCCCAAATAATCTATCATTAAGCCAGGCTTTCTTTAAAGAGGATTATAGGTACCGTTCTCAAATTAATTTTTTTAGATAATATTTTTAGATAAATTTTCCACTGGAAAGAAAAGAGTATGAGAAATTTTTTGCTGTTGAGATAAAATGTTTCTGGTTTCAATCCTTTTTCAGGCTCTTCTTTTCCAGTTCTTCTCATCCCAATCCAGAAACCCCTCCATCCAGACCTTGTGTATTTTCCTTCTCTATTTTAGTGAAAACACACCACACTGATTGTAAGAATCTTACTAGATTTCCATTTGTTTTGCCTCAGCTCCTGAATTACTCCAAACAATAAGGGCCTTTAAAACACTCATAAATAACCTGCTGCTGCTGGCACCTAGGAGCCGAACGCAGCAATGTTAAGCAACAACAAATTTCATAGTTCAGGAGGCACAGTTAAGGAAAAAGGTTGCTCAGGAAATCACTCTTATTTAGCACAAAGATCCTTAAAAATTGCATGAAATCAGTCAAGTAACTATAGAAACCAATTTCTTCAGCTCCATATCACATGTCTCACACCTCAATTGTCTTTATTATCGTCTGCTGTCAGATCCTTAATCAGAAATGTGAACAGGCTTGATGATTTATTCAGCAGGGAAAAGAATCTGTAGGTCAAGTGAAAAATTTCACACACACACCCATATACACACCACATCCTCAACCTTAGGTACTTTCATTTCCTTCTGTTCTCAGCAGCTCTGGGGGCAACTCCAGTGAGATCCAATATTAAGGCTCAATTAAAATAAGCTCCAATTAGTGGAGCTTTTTTCTCTGGGGCTAGAAAAGTCAGGAAATGGATATTGGGAAATGTAAAAAGTCAGCTACTGAGAGGAGGCTGCAGACATAAATGAACTTATTTGTTGATTTCTACAGTTGCTATGCAGAGGCCTCTGGGAGTAAAAGCTTAACCAGTCTAAGCCATAAACTAAAACCCCTGCAGCTAAACATGAACTGTGTGAAACAAGGGCTCCATTCCAGAACAGAAAACTGCTGGGCCCAGAAAATTAAAAGCCAGAGGCGTTTTCCATTTAAAACTAAATCCCAGTACCGCCTCCCAGCCAAAGAATTATAAGCAGTATCAGATTTACAAAACGAACAATTACCCTGGAAAAATGTAGCCTATTGTACAGTCCCAGATGCTAAATCTCAGAAGTTTCCCTTTTTTTTTAATCCCATATTATATTCCTCCAAGTACGCTGCTGTAGATTACAAAGAGCCATTTCTAGACAGGCCTAAACCTTGAAAATAAATTTTAAAAAGAGAGCACATAACTCTTTGACCTCATTTGAAGCACTGCCCTTGCCTTCAGCAGTTCCTGTCCTTCCCCAAGGCTTCTGCAAATGGTATGCAACAGCAAAATAAACCCTGACCTAATTGCCAGGAGAGAGCTGCCAACCTTCCCTCAAACACAAAGACAAGCATGGTAACTTGAAAGTCCTACCTCTTTGGCTTTCTGCTTTAATCTCAGCTGTTCTGGATCTTCTTTATTGGAACGACTCTATCAAAGGAAAAGAAAATTTTAATAGAAATTACTAGCATCTAAACACCACAGTTGCCGTTAAATATTTAATAAACGACAATTTTCTCTTGTGATTGAAAACCTTAGCTCCAGGGGAAAATGCCTCAATCCAGTCTAGTGCACACTCCCTTACTCCCCCTCCCTTTCATCATCTGGGCCGGCTGCTGCAGTTCTAGCCCGAAGGAAGCTTATACCGAAAATGATGCTAACAATGTCAGTCAGGTCCAGTTGAGGTATGACGTTGTTCTTGCTGGAACACTAAAAACTAAAAAATGGATGGTACAGATGAAGGAAAAGAAAAGGAGGATAATTATTGGCTCAAATGAATGAAAACAATCAGTATTGGCTAATCTTCAGGTGAAGCCATTTTGGAAAAACATATGGTATTTCAAGGACTCTTCAAATCAAGAAGCTGACTAATCTTCAACCAAACCTCTCCCCCTTCAAAAACGTAATTTAAAAAAATTAAGTAGGAAATACATCCCAATGTTTTCATTAGAATATCCTTGCATCTTTGGGTCCTCTATAACACCTTACAGAATGCTGTGCACAAGTAAATATCCTGTAAATGTTTCCTGAATGTTGTTTTCCATACTGATTCAGTTAACATTCCAAAAATGAACCATCTCACAGAACTGCTATAAGAAGAGAGCTATCTTCCATATGTAATGCTGTAATGGAACACAGAGTAAGAAACTTTATTTCTGACACCATGAACATTTGTCCACTGAAAAATATGTGTAGGATAGGTGTGTCCTTTTTCTCATTCTAACAAAGTTATTTAACTCCTTATAAATCTGAATATTCTATAAAATGCAACATCAGCTAACTAAAGGTAGCTAGCAAATAAAAGCTAAAAGTATTTTCCTATGTAGTAAGTTTATTGGCTACGTTTACTGATTTATCAGTACTTTTGTTAAAGAAAAATACAAGAAAGAAACTGCTTAGAATTAAGTGTCTTCTAATTTTAAACACTTTAATTAAATACTTACATAAAATTCTACCCAAAGCTAGTAATTTTTTTCTTCATTTTATCCCCAATCTACTAAAACAACTCCACTGCAGCCCAAACTAAGACAAACTCCTTTGTTATTCCACTTATAAATTAGGAGAGAATGAGTATGTGTATATATGCATTTATATAAAAATGTGTATATGTATGTACATACGTACGTATATAATTTTTTGCCACAGTATAAAATGGGCACATTTGAGTATCATGTCTTTGTCAGTCAACCAATATTTATTGATTATCCACAGTACAAATTGTACTCTGTGTGCCAGTGTTCTATGCCTTGGAGATATATAAATGAAATAACAAGACAAAGTCCCTGCTTTCAAGTAACTTACACTTTGAGAAAAATAATAAAACAATTTTATAAAAATTAAACACACTTATGATACGTAAAACATTTATAACGGAGAAAAAGTAAAAACAAATAATTACTGATCGTGATTAAGTGCTATAAAGAAAATAAAATAGAATAATGTGATAGAAAGGAAGGCGGAGGGTACTTCTCTAGCTAGAATGGGAGGGGACATATCTGTGAGGAGTGACATTTGAGTAGAGATCTGAATGACAAGAAGGCAGTAGCCAGGCAAAGATCTAGGGGAAGAACACTCCAAGCAGAAGGCACAGTAATTACCAAAGCCCTAAACTGAGAACAAAGTTGGCATACTTGAGGAAAGAAAGAAGGCCCGCGTGGTTGGAGCATAGAGACAAGTTGAAGGAGATAAATTGGAGATCAGGTGTTGCCTCGTAGGCCATGATAAGGAGATGGGGTTTAATTCTAGTTATAGAAGGAGGGTTTGGAGAACAGGAGTGAGATGACACTGATATGACACCTTCAAAAGATCACTCTGGCTGCTATGTAGAGACCCTAGAGGCACAGGCACACAGAGAAATCAGGAGGCTGTTTTAAAAACTGTCGTGGGGCCGGCCCCGTGGCTTAGCAGTTAAATGCGCGCACTCCGCTACTGGCGGCCCAGGTTCGGATCCCGGGCACGCACCGACGCACCGCTTCTCCAGCCATGCTGAGGCCGTGTCCCACATACAGCAACTAGAAGGATGTGCAACTATGACATACAACTATCTACTGGGGCTTTGGGGCAAAGAAAAGGAGGAGGATTGGCAATAGATGTTAGCTCAGAGCCAGTTTACCTCAGCAAAAAGAGGAGGATTAGCACGGATGTTAGCTCAGGGCTGATCTTCCTCACAAAAAAAAAAAAAAAAACTGTTGTGAATACAAGGCTGTGAAAAAGATGAGGGCAGCTTGGACTAGCGCCATAGCAGAGATGATCAATGATTAGGTTCAAAATATATTTTGGAGGTAGAGCTAACCAGATTTATGAATGGATTGGATACAGGGTATGAATTAAAGAGAGCAATCAAGTCTGGCCTAAGCAACTGGTAGAATGATAATTCTAACCTTGGGAGGGTAAAGACTGGAGCAGATTTACGGGACGGGAACTCAGCGTTCAGTTTTAGATGCCTAACTCGTAGTCTAGGATACAAGCTCGGCATGTTCAAAGAAAGGTCAGTGTGAGTGGAGCAGAGCGAGTGAAGAAGGAAGCGAGACGAGGCGAGCCCAGAGAGGGAGGTGGATGCCAGATCAGGGAAGGCCTTCTAAAATTTGGGTTTTATTTTAAGTACAAGGGGAAGCCACTGAAGGCTTTTAAGCAACAGAGACATACATAACCTGTTATGAAAAATTATTCTGAAAATAGTATGAAAACTGGATGATAGAAAGGAGATCAGTTAGAAGACATTATAAAAGTCCGAGTGAAGGATGACTTAGACTAGAATGGTGACAATGGTGATGAAAAGAAGAAGGTGGATACATTTTGGAAGTAGAATAGGAAGTGAACCGGATGTGAGGAGAGAAAAGGAGTTAAAGATGACTCCTAGGTTTTTTGGCTTGAACATCTGGGCAAATAATGGTGTCATTTACTGAGTCAGGAAAACCTGTAAGAGAAAAATGTATTTTGAGGGGAGAGGAAAATCAGGAGTTCTTTTGGACATATTAAATTTGAGATGCCTATTGGCCAATGGACTGGAGACTTCAAGTAGGCAGTTAGCTATATGAGTCCAGAGTTCCAGAATGTAAACTGAGTTGGAAATATAAATTTAAGAGGGAATGCAGACAGAGAAAAAGACCTAGGACTGAAACACGGGACACTCCAATATTTAGAAGTTTGGTAAAGGAGGAAAAGCCAAAAGAGAGTGAGAGCAAGTATAACATATTATATCCAGTAATAACTAAACAAGTTTCTAATATTTTATGACCTTGTTAATAGCATAGTAATTGGAAATTAAATACCAATAAAACACCTCATTACATTGGCTGTGTGCTTGCTTATAATACTCGAGGACTCATGAAGAGCATCTTCCTGTGCCAGTTGCCCTTCCCAGTACAGGAAGGGTCAGCATGGGGACCGAGACTGGGAAAACGGGAAGCTGCAGAGTGACAAAGGTTGTGGTGCACCACATCTCTGTGGGGGCCTGGGAAACCTGAAGGTGTAGACCAGTGGCCAATGCAGGGTGATGTGGGGTTGGGGGGACTCAGCAAGGCAAGGGCCAGCACGCATGGCAGCCAATTACATGGGCAATGAAATGAGAGCAGGGGTAATAGTAGTAGCAGACAGAGGAGTCCGCCAGCATGGCTGTTTGGGAGATTAGTTACATTGATCAAATAAGTAAATTGAGGACATAAGTAAATATATCGAGGATAATGAAAGCCAAGTTTCTGACTGTGGAGAAAGTAGTTATAGACATGGAAAGGGTAAGGCTAGAAAGAACCCTAAGATATTGACTGGAGTTGGAGGTGTTCATACAAACTCATGGTTTTATAATATATACACACCATACATATATTTCTTAGATCTGTCCTTTTGAGAGTGCCTACATGTACTGACGCCCCATTAGCGATGAGCACACTATATGCTCTAATCTTGGTTTCTGGATATCATCCTCAACTAAAATGATGCAGGGTTCCTTGGAGAAATGGCTGATTCCAGGGCTGGGGAAGGAAGAGTAAAAGCTCGGCCTGGAATATGTCGTGCCAGAAAGTAAGGACATGCTCAGTGAATGATGCAGATATGACTAAAGGACAGAGTGCTAGTTGGAGGGGTCTCCCACTCAGGAGCAATTGGGGCATCAAAATAAATAATGATAGGAATGGATTACAACCTGTTGAATCAAATAGAAATCCATGAGCCCATACTGATATAAATAAATGCATGAATAAATGAATGAATGAATAAGAGAGAAAGGAAAGCTCTTCCATATCGTAGAGTGCTAATAAATGTAGAAGAGAGGATGAGAATAAAGAATCACCATTTGGCAACCATCATAGAGGTGGCTGATTCAGGCGGTCATCATCAATGGATGCTAAAGCTGATATGTGGAGGTTTAACGAGGAATGAGATATTGGTATAATCTTGGAATACTTTCCTGTGAAAAACTAATTGATTACAAAGGGGAAAATGGCAAATTTAAAATGGAGAGAATTGATAGGCACCCACAAGACCAGGTGATTAAGGTAGCATTTTGATATGATCAGTTGAGAAGAATGTAGCATCTTTTCTATGTATTCCAGACAAGAATGCATGACCTAAGTCAAGTCATGAGGAAACAGCAGATGAACCCAGGTTGAGAGTCACCCTACAGAAGGTAAGGCCTATACTCTTGAAACCTGTCAAAGACATGAAAGAAAAAGAAAGACTGAGAAAGTCTGACTGAAGGAGTCTGAAAAGAGATGACAACTGAATGAAACACATATTCCTGAATGGGAAAATGGACGAAGAAAGGAAAAGAAACAGAGCTGAGACAGGCGGTGAAATTTAAATGGAGTCTGTGGATTATATATTAGCGTTATATTGTTCAAGTCCTGACTTGGAGGTTATACAGGAGAATGTCCTTGTTTTTGCAAATATGCACTAAAATGTTTAGGAAACTGAAGCTTGCTTTCAAAAGGTTCAGAAAAAGACTAACTAGAGATGATAGGTGCACAACTTTGTGAATATACAGAAAACCTCTAGGGAGGGAGGGAGGGAGGGAGGAAAGGAAGGAAGGAGAATGGAAGAGACTAATGATAATGGGTGGGTGGGGGTGTGTGTGTGTGTAGAAAGGATAGAGATGCAGCACATGCAGTAAAATGTTAAAAATGGGGGAATCTGACAAAAGGAGATGAGGGTTCTTTGTATAGTTCTGGCAACTTTTCTGTAAGTGTGACAATTGCAAAATAAATTAGTTTTTAAAAAAGTGATTCGTATATGATTTGGAACAAATACTGTAAAGGGGAGGCTTCCAAGAACACTAGAAATTAAAACTAAGTTTAAAACAAAAAAATAAAACCAGTGCCCAACCTTTAAGACTCCTCAGAAGAGGCCCTAGGTCTACAAAGAAATGTGGAGCAACAAAATGCAAACTGTAGTGGAATTAACTTTCACTCCATCTGGCACTAATAACTCAGGAAAATGTTTAAATAAGGGAGAAAGGAAATAAATAAATAACAGGCTCACCTGTTCTCTCTTTTACGCTCTCTCTGAATCATTTTTGCCTATCCTATATTTAGTTCCATATAGTCCTAATTACTCCTAATTTTACCCATAACCTTCCTGTCCACTTTCCAAATCTTCCTCTCTCAACTTCAACTTGGAACATATCAAATCATATCCCTAAGAAGACCTTGAAAATTTTACAAACCATTTTTACTTGGGGGGGCGGGTAGAAGTGGGAGGGGTGGGGTGGTAGGTATGATGCTAGGCACACAGGAACTGAGAATGAGACAAAAGATTACATCTCATAAAACTAGATTAACTGAAAGCCACTGTACCACCCCATCCCAGCTGTGAGAAATTTTATCAGTAATTTCATTTTAAGAAACTCTTCAGAGAAATCTAAAGGCCTAATAAATCTGAGACAGTCAACCAATGATAAAGCCAATTCTGATCTCCTTGCCAGGCCATGTTCACTCATAAATCACACAGGACCTTACCTTGGCTGCCTTAAGTAACATTTCTCTTTCTTCTAAATCCTTTCTCTGCTTCTCTAATTGATCCAGCTTTTCAAGAAATTTGAGCTGTGACCTGGTATCACTAGACAGGATGTAATTTTCACTTGCCTAGGAAAAAAAAAAGAAAGTCTTATGATGATCCTAGGCAACACATTCTACATTAGGTATTGTTATAAATCAGCTAAAGACAGTAACACCAACATACATACGGAGCTAAGTTTTCAGGAGGTTTAAACAGACTTAACAACAACAAAAAAGAACTTTAATCATCCTTAAAATTTGAGAGGTGATTAAGCATTTAAATTTCAAAGAGCTTCCCTACTAAGCCTTATTCAGAGGGGGAAAAGAAAGGAATTAAGCCAAGCAGATCCTAACAACAGGAAATAGAAAGCAAGAGAGGGTACCATTTACCTATAATCTAAATCTTTTAGTTAAATGATTGAACATCTCAGCAGACCTTAACATGATTGATTAAATCTTAGGCCTGTGAAAGACAAAAAACAAGAAACAATCACCTCACTGAAAAATATACCAAAGATGAAAGTTATCATCCTTGTTTCTATTGTTGGATTGGTCTAACCTTGACAAGTGAATACAACTTCTATCAAAATACAACATAAGATAAAATGGCAAACATTAAAATCCTAAACCCTGTTTTGAGGATTTCCTTAAGCTATGAACTTGGGCAGAAACTGCAGTCAAAGAAATAAACAATTTATAAATGAGAGCCATAACAGAGAAGTATAATCATTTGTCTTAATTGTTCCATAAAATGATAAAATTTACTTTGTTCCACTTATTCTGATATTCTAGAGTATAAAACAGTGCTTTCCAATCTAAATATTTTGTAATTTTCTTCATCTGATATGACCACCTGATCTCTCCTCTCTAACATATACATGAGTGTGTGTATGCTTGGGGTGGGGGTGGGGGTGAAATCTTCCCAATCAATATTTAAGACATCCAGCCATCTACTCATCTCAGTAATTCAGATATTCAAGCTACAAGAGGGAGATTGAGGGAGACTGTATAATAGGAAAACTGAATGTTTTTAAACATTTAGTCCAAAAGTCAGTGCCTGGCTTGGACATCATGGGTACACCACCACTCCCATCTTTGTTTTATCCCATGCTTATGACTGATTCAATTAACTGAGACTGAGAGATTTCATATGCTCAAGATTCTTTTTAAATTAAATTTTTATTGTTGGTATTTAACTAGATCAAAGAGTATTACATGGTATAACGAACAAGGATATATTAGTGCTACTTATTTTACTTTATGTTTAATACAAAAAGAATTGTCAAATGCTTTCCAAGTTAAATAATACAAGATAGAATATGGAATACGTTATAGGCCAACCATAGAGGTATAAACATAATAACCAGTGGTTTCTTAAATATTTCATCTTTACCATTTTTGTGTTCAGATACTCTGGAGATAGTTTACTGACAGGATTTAATTTAAAAAGGACAACAAACACTAAATTAAAAAGGGGCTCAGACTTTCTAAATTCTAACCTAATCTCACTCCCATGCTAAGATTCCTTCTCTCTCTCTCAACTTGCATACAAATGCCTCTGGCTTAACTCATCCTTCCTTTACTCCTCCAGATACTAAACAAATGAGTGCCTCCCCTGTTCCTACTGAGTCCCCAAACTTATTTAAACAACAGTAACCTCAATCTTATCACGTTCCTTCCTGTCTACCCAGCTGGATGAACTGAAGTCTTCATGCACCACAGAGTAAGGTGGTTTAGCAATAAAAATATAAGGACTCAGACCAAATGAATCCCATCTAAAGAAAGCACTACAGCCCCTTTCAACTGGCGAACACTGAAGCTTCTCCACAGCCACCGGCATGCAGAAGACTATAATATTATCTTCAGTGGGAAAACACCTGGCAGCAAGATCAAAAGCTTTGTACCACATGTGTCACTCTGTACTTCTTTACTTAAATCTCAGTTTATGGACTATGACTAATTAGAGAATTATATCTAACCAGGTGAAAGATTATCAAAAGTAGATGGATGTCAAATGGAAAGAGATCGTGGGATTTTCGCTTTTAATAAAAGTAGCTCCCTTTTGTGCAATTCGTGGAGTAAAATTTCCTACGCTGTCCAGATAAAAATAAATCCTATGGGTATGAAATGAAATATAAGGACAAGGCTAAATCTGTGACACAAAGATTACGACAATCAATGTCTACAAAATAAGTATAATTTTGAAGTAGGTCCAAATATAATTAAATGATTACTATTTCTGTTTAAAGAAGGATGATAATGTAGCTGCCTTTCTATATATGTAAATTCAGACAGTTTTAAGGAATGAGTGTGGGGAAAGGTGGGCAGGGGGAAATCAAGGAGGACAGGCAGTGTACAAGACAGAAGGTTAAGGAGGTGTTAGCTTTAAGCTAAGTTACTAAGGTTCCAGGTGGAGTAGATACTATCCATTGTGCCTAAGGCAACTAAATCCTCGGAACATATGCTATTGATACACAACAGAAGAACTCTATCTGAAAGCTGTACACAGTAGAGCTTTAGATGGCACTCAGAATCGTAAATATTACTTGGGAAAATTCTATTCCATACTAAATTGTACATGTCACGTTTTATATAGAAACCGCCCATTGTAAATGAAAGTGAACTCATGTATCTCTGAAACAAAAGGTGACTGAGGTGGCAATGGGGGGAAATCCAGGTTTGAAAAATTATAAGACTCTTTAAAAAGTTACCGTAAAAAGCCAAAAAGGAAGACTAACTCCTCCACATCCCAAAATTGAAGGTAAGCTGTGATCAATTCAAACTAGATTATTACAAATTTAGGATGTTAACTGTAATCTCCAAGGTAACCACTAAGAAAATACCTAAAAAATATACACAAAAGGAAATGAGGAGGGAATCAAAACAATACACAACAAAAAAATCATTTAAACAAAAATAGATGGCAGTAACAGAGAAAATGAGAGACAAAAAACAGCTATCAGGCATACAGAAAAATAGTAAAATAGCAGAAATAAGTTCTTCCTTATCCGTAATTACTTTAAATGTAAATGGATTAAACTCCTCAATCAAAAGGTAGGGACTGGCAGAATGGATAAAAAACACGATCCAACTATATGCTGTTTATGAGAGATTCACTTTAGATGAAAGCACATAAACAGGTTGAAGGTGAAAGGATGGAAAAAGATATTCCACGCAAATAATAACCAAAGAAAGCAGGGGTGGCTACGCTAATATCAGGCAAGATAGACTTTAATAAAAAATTGTTAAAAGAGATAAATAAGGACATTATATATTGACAAAAGTGTCAATTCATCAAGAAGATATAACAAGAAGATAGACAACAGAGCCTCCAAATATATGAAGCAAACACTGACAGAACTAAAAAGAGAAACAGACAGTTCTACGATAATAGTTGAAGTCTTCAATATCACACTTTCAATGATGCACAGAATACCTAGACAGAAGATCGATAAGAAAATAGAGGACTTAACACTATAAGCCAACTAGATCTAACAGACATGTATGAATACTCCATCCAACAGCAGCAGAATACACATTCTTCCCAAGTGCACATGGAACATTAACATTCTTCAAGATAGAGCACATTAGGCCACAAAATAAGTCTCAATAAATTTAAAATAACTGAATCATACTAAGAATCTTCTCTGACCACAATGGAATGAAGCTAGAAATCAACAATAGATGGAAAACTGGAAAATTCACAATTATGTGGAAAGCAAACAATATTCTCTCAAACACCCAACGGATCAAAGAAATCTCAAGGGAAATCAGAAAATACTTAGAGATGAATGAAAACAAAAACACAATTGACCAAAACTTACAGAATGCAGTGAAAGCAGTGCCCAGAAGAAAATTTATAGCCGTTAATCCCTACATTAAAAAAGGAAGATCTCAAACCATTAACCTACCTTATAGCTTCAGGAACTAAAATCAGAAATGAAAGCAGGATCATTACAGAAATAAAAAGGATTATAAGAGAATACCATGAGCAATCATATGTCAACCCCAGAAGAAATGGATAAATTTTAGAAACACACAAAAAGAAATACTGCTATTGCTTTTTTCCCCACAGCTTTTTCACTGGTTGATCCCTTATTTTTAAGATGGTCCAGCAAATTCTCACAAATCTTTATGCAAATGAGGACCTCAGCAACTAAAAACAGTTCTTCCAAAGTTCTAAATGAAGCAGAAAGGAGAGAAAATAGAATGATTCCTCCAGGGAACTTACCGGTGTTGTGGTAGCTGGTATTTGCCTGGATTCCTTTTAACCTTTGGCTAGGACATCATCACAAGGACCATTCTTGCAAACTAAAAACCTCCCAAGATTATCCACATACCATCTTGTACAAAATCTAGCTATCAACATTTCTTGATATAGGGGGAAAATGTTTTTTTTTCTTTTTCATCTCTCACTACCCAATAAATTTGCTCTCCACCAAAACCATAATTCAAATAAATTAGGTGTTTTCATCTTGATGATGGCAAGTGATTTCGTTCATACCACTAGGGACAAAACAGGACATTGTTGCTTGCATTTAGTTTCTTATAAAAGCAGCCAATGGTGATAATGAGTGGCATCAGTATTAGCACTCAATGCAATCATTTAATTTATTAAAAGGAACAGAAATGCTAGCAGGGTACAGATCACGGAAGAGAACACAACTAGCCAATATTCCAATATTCCAACATACCCTCCCCTTCCCAATCAAAAGCTTTAGAAGGAGAAGCCTCAGGCAGAACAGATGCATATTTCAATCTACACTGACACAGAAGCTTTGGATACCATCTTAAACTCTTTTAATTTTATTTGTCATGTAAGCGTATCTAAATAAGGAAATTAAGAATGAGACTTTGACTTTCTACCCATATGAAATTAAAGTCTCAATCATTTCCTTTAAAAATGTACTTAGAATATGAATCTATGCCAAAAAAGCCACCTTTAACATGACAAAGAGGAGAGAGAAGAGTTTGTACGTCTTTAAATGATTACCTTTACCTTGTAAGTTGTCATTCGATGCTGAGCAATTGTAGTCAGTTTTTCTAGAAGGCCTCGTAATCGCTCCTGTGTTGCATGGGAGATCAAGTTCACAGCATCAGAGTTAAGTTCCGTAATGTCATGCTTTTTACCTGTGGAAGCAGAGAAAATCCATTACGTGTTTTAGTAGTGGCTGATAATTGAAATAATTAGCACAGCAGGTATTCTGTTCCCCCTGGAAGTCATACCCATTATGAATAAAGGTTTGGAGATTATGATTTTCCTGGTAAAGTCACAACTTCAAAGATCTTAGACATTACATTAATAAAACCTAGCCTGAAGCCTCAGAAAATATAGACATTGTTTCACTTAGCCTCTAGAATCATTCTCCTTGCAAGGTCATTTATAGGACAAAGTTAATAAGAACACAAATCAAGTCTAGTGTTCAGGGAGGAAAATGATAACTGCAGAAATTAGTGCTGTATTCTGTTAATTTTAGTAATTAAAAAAATAGAAAATTACATTTTGCCCTGTTTGACACTTTTAACAATTTATGACATTTATTTCAATGAATTCAGATTGTGAGTCTCTGTTAATGCCTTGTCTACAAGACACACCTATACTCCTTTTGTCCATTACCAATCACGCTTATTTTGCACTAACTCATGTTCTGATAAATTGACTTGGTAATTTACAAATTGAAATGGGTTCAAAGCCTCATCATTTCACCCATCTATTTGAATAACTTTTCTTTCACCCTCTCTCTTTCCATAAATAAAGCAAAATTCTATTCTTCCTTCTGCTAACTAGGAAGAAAGTTTCAGGAAAACAATTTGGACCACACACCCAAAGGCAGAAGCTCATTTATAAATCAACCCTATCAGTATTTAAATAGTAATTCTCCAGGTCAGTGAAACCACCTGTATCAACAGAAACTAAATCTAAAGATATAGGCAATTAGGTAGTCTAATCTAAATGAGCTTTTAATAGTGCTATTGTGTTTGTTTGTAACATATGCATATACACAGAAATTTTTAAAATATTATTCTTTGATTTTTGCACTCTATTTGAAACATACTCATATACTCTTCAAAATGTGAATGAGTATAGCAAAATAATAAGCTTTAATTAAAAGCCAACAAATCTTAAACACATTCTTTGACATTATTGCATAATGTTAAAACTTTAATTCAAAATGCAGGCTACAGCAAACTAGACAGCAAGAAGACAAAAAATTATCCAGCTTCTCCTATACTAAACCTTCAAAATGTAGTTCATTACTTTGTAGCAAAACCGAACTCATCACCAATTTAAGATTCAAGCAGGGAAAAAACACTACAAAGTCAAATCTACTTAATTAAAACCATCAGCATAAACAAACAGTGGGGGCTTTCTACAGAAGGAACAGTACAATTTCAAAACAATCCATTGATTAAAATCACAACTAAACACAGGGTAGGTAGTATGCCAGTTCATGCTTAAATTAAAGAAAATGAGCATTTAAAGATATTTAGTGTTTTGGGGGAAACTGAAAATAATTTCATACGTATTTATAAAATAGATAATTTACCTTACGTAAAAGAAAAATCCATATTTTAAAAAATATTAGAAATAAACAAGTTCTGGGATTTGCAAACAATTACAGGGCTTAATGAAGAATCAAATGTTCTAATATCTTCACTAAACTGATCATAAAACACGGCAAAGTTACATAGTTAAATTCTCACTTTAAATAAAACACTCTAACAAAATCAACATAACTGATTACAGAGATACAGTTGGTGTCTGCAAACTTACCTGATTTTTACAGAATGACTGTGTAATTTAATTTAGGTAATTAGCAAAAAAGAAAGAATACTGGCATGTTTACTTCCTAACATATACAAGTAGGCAAATCTTCCAAAAAATTCTTTGGGTAAATTTATAATATCTGCTATAAAGGAATGGTCTTTTCTGATCTGTTCTGTAAAGATAGAATTTTACTATAAATGGAAAACATTCCTAGAAATACATAATTCCATTCACTCTACAGTTTTATTTTTTTTAAAAAAAGCTTAGATAATTCAGTTCCCATCATATTAAATGACCAGTTTGTGTTTCATCATTAAGAAATGAAAATACAAATAGTTGTCCCCAGAATTCTCCTTGAGAGCAGAGGCTGGCAAACTAAATCTGGTCCCTTTTTGTAAATAAAGTTTGATGGGAATACAGTCATGTGTATTTGTTTACATATTGTATATGGCTGCTTTTGTAACATAGCAGAGTTGAGCAGTTGCTACACAGACCATATGGCCCACAAAGTGGCAAATATTTACTATCTGGCCCTTTGCAGGAAAAAAATTGCCAATCTTTGTTCTAAATAATCAAAAATGCTCTTCTAATACTAAAAATTTTCCTATCATATAATCAAGGTTTAAATCAAGCTAGAAATAAAATTTGGAAGGGGGACAGGGAATTGATAAAACTAAGTATCTACTTCTCATTTATTATCTACCAAAGCTCTAGATAATTATATGGCTAAAGGAGTTAAAACACGAGTAAATTTCCCAAGCCATCACAGTAAGGTATAGTGCTTATTAGGCTTGTTCCAAAATTAAGGAACTGCCTCCTGTACAGTACAAAATACATACACAAAGAAGAAAACGAAAGAGAGAGAGAGGAAGGGAAGAAAGGGGGTGGGGGGTGGGGTCAAACAAAACACAAGCAAACAGCAAACAAACATTTTACAATCAGCTCTTCTGAATTCCTATCCTTTTAGGACTACTTGTAAATTCTAGTTTTTCGTGATAAAAGAATAATAATATATACCCAACTTAAATTAGAGATACAAAAGTGGTCATTTGTATAGCATATAGTAGGAACTCACATTTCTTTACTGAGTCACTATGAAGTAGACTTAAAATATGTAATAGCAATGCACTTTGTAGTCTTTAAATATACCATGGGCATATCAAAATTCAGAAACCCTCACGTTTTTGTGTTAGGCCTTCAATATAAAATGTAAAGGTTCTTACTCAAGTATACTCAAAGGTCACTATACTGGCCCCTCAAATTTGACATGAGTGAAGGAGAAGAACCGGTCTCCAATAAGTCTCAGGACCAGGACACAAAAAATGAGATAACCACATGAGACAATATCTCTACAACCTATCTCTTTTTTCAGTTAATTTGGGAAGATAGCAGTTTTTCACATTAATGTGAGTTTGGTATTAAAAAACAACAAAAAAGCTGTTTGGCTCCAGAATAAAACTGGTATGCTGTCTTCCATTTTCTTTCATATACCGCAGTCACCTAAGAACTACTCCTGGACCTAGAAAGACCCTTAATATTCTAATTTAGTTCTTTTAAGGCAAGGTTGGGTTTGAATTTCAGGGTTGAGATAAGGAAAAAGGGACTTACTCTCCTTCGCGGTTTCTATATTTCATAAACACAAACTTGTTTAACATAAGTGTGCATTTGTACACCTACATGCCTAAATGCCTACCAAGGAAGGAACAGGATAAAGAAACAGTATATCACATGTATATATTCATATAAAAACATACACACCTATTCTCCCATTAAGAAATACGAATATTAACTTCAATTATCTAAACCAGAAACCATGGGTTATATGATTTAAGTTAATAGGTTTTAAAATAAAATACTTCTTTCTATAACACCCATGAAATCTTGATTATTTACAGAGCCTTACTTGAGCCTCAGAGCTCTGGAAAACCAACCCAGGCTATCTCTTTTGATAACATTTTCCCTGGAACAGACAGTCCTATCAGGTCAATAATCACAAGTCTGTACTTACCAATGTCTAAAATTCTCTTTTGTAGAGCTCCAATGAAAAGAAATGGTTCATCTTTACATGATTGAATGAGTGTGCCAACCAATTCAGAGTTTGTTGCTATGATGCAGGCATTTTCTTCATTGAGGTTCACCCCTGCCATGGAAGTCACATCATTGATGTCATCTTCATCTCTAATACAAAAAAAAAGATAGCTTTGTGGTGATGGTGTACGTGTATGAGTAATTTAAGAGATCGAAGAATTATAAATCTCTCCTTATAACTAAAGACATTATTTTACTCAATTCATCCAAGCAAGAGAAGAATTGAAGAATGGCTATCTTTCCCTGTAAGCCTTTAAAATTAATTGGTGTCTAATCACTATCAGAAAGATGAATCAGAAGCAACTTTGTTTTCTAGCGCCCATCTCTCCCTCTCAGTTTAGTAAATGAGATACACCAAGAGGGATTTGGAAGTTATACTAAGTTATCCACAAATCCCCTGCAATGAAAGACAAAGAAATAAAAACAGATTTCTTTGTTTTCATCCAAGATGATTAAGAGCCCCTCAGATTTCCCCAGTGCACTCCACTGTTTCACTGAGAAGTAGGAGACATCCCCAGGTCCTGAAAGGTCTGTACCCACATATGCCCTTGAGAAGCTTTCTTGATTAGCTGGTCTGAAACCAAATGATTAAAACTAGTTTTGTTTTTCTGCTTCAGACTTTTGGTGTGCTCCATTTATACCAATTGAATTAATTAAACCACATCCTTGAGCAAATGGCTGCAAAGGGTCCATATATAAAATATAAAATTATATACACATACATGTAAAAAGACATACATATAAAACACAAAATATGTTTGAGTTCCCTGCATTGCCACTTGCAAAATTAAATAGTTGTTTTTATCTAATAGAATTGCTATATAGCTACAGCACTAAGATGAGCATATATGTTTAAGGGGAGAAAAGAAAGAGAGAAAAGAAATACTAAAATTCCCTCACAGTATCCTTATCATCATATGTAATAACAATCACATTACTAATAATAACTCACATACCAATGCGCAACATAATTTCACAAACATGATTATATAAAAAAGATGTTGTTTCTCTTTATTGTATAGGCCAAGTGGTATATCATGTCTCACGTCAATAGATTTAAATTACGAACCTCCCTGTGGTAATGCATTTGTGTACAGAAAACAGAAATAAATTATAATTGTCAAGCACTCAAGAAATGAAGGCCTCTGGTGTTCAACTCTAAAAAGCAGTACATTAGGGGTGAATAGAAAAGAGCCCATATTCAAACATACGTAAGAGATTCAAACTAAATGAAAGAAAGTAAAGTGCTAGACACAGAAGCTGAAAGTGAAGAGAAAGAACAATGGTCTTTCTATCTGAACAGTATATTTAAAGGACTAACTTTAAAAGGTATCTCTCTGAAATGGGGAAAAATTTAAAAATTAAAATTTTAAAAATTTAAAAATTAGTATCTCAAACCACCAAATTAAACATGCAATATAAAGAAACTATACAAAAATGGTTGGACTCCACCTTATCAAATGTCACAGAGGTATTGTTAGAGGTATGGGATGCTGAGAATGGTTCTATGAATCATTTTGCCACCTATGTAAATAAAATTTCCAAAAACATTCTAAACATTTAAACATCTAAAGTGTAAGAATGGTGGAAACCATAAACTTCAAGATGGAGCAAGATCTGAGTGAAAAAAAAATATTTTTAAAGGTCTGAGTAAAAATGGTTTTTAAAAAACCAACTTCGTGGGCCAGCCCCGGCAGTTTAATGGTTAAGTTCGTGCCCTCCACCTCGGTGGACCTACCCTGCTGGTCAGTGGCCACGCTGTGTCAGCGGCCCACATACAAAAAAGAGGAAGATTTGCAACAGATGTTTGCTCAGGGCGAATCTCCCTTAAGCAAAAATAAATAAATAAATAAACAACTATCAAGAGAATGAAAAAACAAGCCACAGACTGGGAGAAAATATTTGCAAAAGATGTGATAAATGATACTTTGTTATCCAAAATATACAAAAAACTCTTAAAACTCAACAATAATAAAACAAACTGATTAAAAAATGAGCTAAAGACCTAAAAGACACCTCACCAAAGAAGATAAATGATGGCAAATAAGAATGTGAAAAGATGCCTCACATCCTATCTCATCAGGGAAACGCAAATTAAAACAACAATGAGATACCACTACACACTTATTAGAATGGCCAAAATCCTGAACACTGACAACACCAAAGGGTGATGAGAATGAGGAGCAAAAGGAACTCTCGTTCGCTGCGGGTGGGAACACAAAATGATACAGCCCCTTTGAAAGACAGTTTGGTGGTTTCTTACAAAACTAAACATACTTTCACCATACGATCCAGTAATCATACTCCTTGGTATTTACCTAAAGGAGTTGAAAATTTACATCTACACAAAAACCTGTACACGGATGTTTATAGCAGCTTTACTCATAATTGCCAAAACTTGGAAACAACCAAGATGTCCTTCGGTACGTGAGTGGATAAATAAATGGTGGTATATCCAGACAATGGAATATTATTGAGTGCTAAAAAGAAATGAGATATCACACCATGAAAAGACATGGAGGAAGCTTAAATGCATATTATGAAGTGAAGTAAGCCAATCTCAAAAAGCTATATACTGATGATTCCAACTATTCTGGACTTTCTGGAAAAGGCAAAACTCTGGAGACAGTAAAAAGACCACTGGTTGCCAGGGTTAGCGGGGAGGGAGGAATGAATAGGCAGAACACAGAGGATTTTCAGGGCAGTGAAACTATTCTATATGACACTATAATGATGGATACATGTCATTATACATTTGTAAAAACCCATGAAATGTACCACACCAAGAGTGAACCTTAACATAAACTATGGATTTTAGGTGATAATGATGTGTCAGTGCAGGTTCATCAACTGTAACAAATGGACCACACTGGTGGGGGATGTTGAGAGTGGGGGAGGCTACGCATGTGTGGGAGTAGGGGAATTCTCTATACCTTCCAATCAATTTTTCTGTGAACCTAAAACTGTTCTAAAAAACAAAATCTATTTTTAAAATAAGCCAAGAACACATCAATGAAAAGTCAGTTCACTCCAAAACGGAATCCCAACCAGTTTCTTAACATCTTTAGGACTCAAATTTTTCCCCCTCTGAAAAGTGAATAACTTAGATTAGGTGCTTTCTAAGGTCCCTCTTAGCCACTTACAAGAACGAGGCAGTTTTCTTTGACTTGATACAGAACAATTGCCAAGGTGCACTGTGAAGCGGGAAAAAAAAAAAAAAGGTACAGAATAGGCTGCACCTTGAAAAAAAAATACACACTCACACACAGACTTATATGGGCATAACATATCTCTGGAAAGATACATGACAAATTCTCCTTTGGAGTGGGAAACAGGGAAGCAGGGATAGGAAGACGACTTATTTTATACCATTTTATACTCCTTTCTACCTTTTGAATGTTGTACTATGTACATGCATTACCCAATCAAAATGATTAGTGATATTTAATAAAGTAATAAGTAAATAAACATTGAGAGAAAGAAAACTGGAGATACAAAACATGATAAAGACCTATAACCTATAACCTCATCCTTCCCTTAAAAAGAAAATCAGAATTTTTTAAGGTATACAAAACACAGCCTTTACACACATGCACACAACACTGAATGTTTACAATCTCAGATGTGTGCCAGGTACACAGGCCCTGTAAACTGCAGCTTGCTTCCATAGGTGAGTTCTGCATAGCCCCTGTTGAGATCTCACACACAGGCTGGAGAGACCAGTACCAGGACTACGTACTACCAGGACCTAGCATAGTACTAGAATTGAATGGAATTCATCAAATCAGTCCATTGTTTTTTAGAATCTTCTTGCAGTCTTTCTCTGAAATAAGCAGGGAACTAACAGTCCAATAAAATTTGTTTTTGCCTGCCTTCCCTGCCCAGTATGGCCCCAAGCTGAATACACCTCCCTCTAGAACAGCTGCCAGTTGCTATGGTTACAGAGGGCCGCAGGAGTAGAGGAAGATCCTACTGAGGGAAGAGGAAGAGGTGCCACAATAAACAGCACCCAAGCCATTTAAAACTTCCTCTAAGAAAGGAGTTAGACTGAAAGTAAAGACAACACAATGTTACAGCAGCATTATCAAGAATGCTAAGATAGGTCAGGGCAGTAATAAAGCCTTTGACGTTGAGACATATTTGTGATTCTGATTTGGTTTTAATTTTAAAGGGAGAAGAAAGTGAGAGTCTCTGAACCATGCCTTCAAGTCTTCTGGTCTAATTAATACAGTGCCTTTTGTTGACGGCATTGTGAAAGATAGTCTGTTTTGTTTTGTTTTAAAAGATATACAAAAAGGAAATTTAATAGTGCCTCAGTAGAAAAAGCCTTCCAACTCAAGATTCCGCAGGGTGTAATAGGGTATTGTGCAAAAGTTAAAGAAGTATTACCCAATTATCATTAATGCCTTGCATTCTGGCTTCTGAAACTAATCTAATTCCTGAGCTTTTGATAAAGCTAACCACTGCTCGTGCCTGCCTTCTTAAATCTCTTCCAACCTCTTAAGATCTAGAATAGCACCAGACTAGTTCTTCTAAAGTAAAGTGAATCACATTACTTTCCTGTTCAAGAACCTTTCCTGTTCCCATGAACTCAACCTGATATTCAAGGCCTTCCAGGTAAGGTCCTTGCCTTAGCACACTTCCCTCCCATTACTCGCTATCAAGTGGTGCCTACTGATTCTGGCTTTTGCTCAGGCTATTCCCTTCTTGTTCTAGTCTTCAACACCTCTTGCTTTTTATCCTTCAGCTGTCAAAGCCTTATATATATAGGCCTACTTCAAATGCCTACTTTAGAAATGCTGGTTTGTTTTTATACTTTTTAAGCATCTGTCTAATCGCTACAAATTTCGAACTCTAAGAGCACATTTTGTCTCTGCTATGGTAGGTCTTACTCTGTCTTCTATTCTAATAATCAATATATTTGCCTTAAACTCTACCTACACTAATTTTATTGATCATATTAATCATCTTTATCACCTATCATTCCTAGTAGAGAAGTACACAAATGGTACTTAAATAGTTGAGGAATTGCTATGTGCTCAGATCGGCGTGCTGTTTCTCTCTTACAATGTACCAGGAAGTAGAAGAAC